TGGTTTTTGCCGCAGACACAAAAATGACAATCGTAGAGCCTGCCTTGGGATATGAAGCTGTGAGACGAAACGAGGCGAGGCAAGACAAGCCCGTCTCAGCACCTCGAACAAGCAGGGGAGCGAGGGACAAAAAATTGTAGAGAAGAAGAAAGAAAATCTGCCATTCCAGTCAGTGACAAAGCTGTCTCTTCTTCCCCGGAGAAAGGCGAGGCTGTTTCTCGTTGAAACGAGGGTCTACTCCTCTTCATACATGCGAGGGAGACATGTATGATTGGCGAACTTTCCCCATTATTCTGTACGGCCGGCTCGAGGAACACCATCATACCACTGAAACACCATCTCGGCGGTGATAGAATAGGCAACATCGTCTCTCCATCAACAGCTCAGACAAATTCTCCCCAGGAATGGTGTAGCAACTGAACAGGCTCGAACCGAACCCCTACACAGTAGCCCATCGTCAAGGGACGAATACGTACGCATTTTCTAAATCATGCGTTGCCATGTACATGACATCCATGAAGTCATCTCACTGCAAAGACACTGACGAGAATCGAAAAAAGCACACCTTCTTTTCTTTTGGTACTCTAACATGAAAACGCCTGAACGCATGCCACTGTAGTCCTCCCTTGCGCGTTATTAGAAGAAAAGAGAATCAAGTAAAAGCAGAATATCCCCTATCCCAACTGCTATAGCCCCTTATTATACGAAGAAAGTGTTCCCCTTGCCATCTTGTGGTACGTGGCATAGCATGGCATATAAAATCACAAGATAATGGCCAGTTCCGGCCGGTCCATGAGCTCGTCATCCAGGTTGGGATAATACGGCACCATTGCATCGGCCGCAGCGACGTAGGCATCGTTGTACAGTCGCCAGTAGGGCGTCCGCACCTTTCTCGCGGGGTGGAAGAGCCCAGCCCAGACGTAGTTCAGAACCAGGCCAGGACCGGCGGCCACACGAATGGCCTCGATGGCTTCGATGATGCGGTCAATGACGTGAGGGCTGGTCTCGAACAGGTTGGGGTACAGCAGGTTGAGCAGGTGGATCATGGCGTCTTCGCAGCCGAGGCCAACAACACCCAGAGCAATATGCTTGACAACCGATGCGGCCGTCTGTCGATGGACCTGATCTCGATCGGTAAGGGCATCCTCCAGAAGAGGCGTGACGGCGTAGACGTAGTCCTTGGCCATTTCGCCAATGTACTCAAACAGGAAAGACAGTGACTTGAGCACGCCGTTCTGGACGTTGAGCTCAGGCACACGATACTCGTTCATCAAGGCCGGCAGCACAGTGAAGGGGGCACAGGTTTCGGCAACGATACCAATGGCAACGGCCGTGTTGACACGCGACTGTCGCTCCTGCACCCGCAGATTGTTGAGCAGCGTGGCCAAAACATCCTGGGGGCCGATGGCCTTGGCAATGAAGCCAAAGGTGTTGTTTGCCGCTCGTCGAATTCCTTTCTTGTGAGCCTTGAGCATATCAAGCAGCTCAAAGCAAATTCTCATCCACTCTCGGGCGTTGACACTCTCGGGGCCGCGGTCGGCGATACGTCCCACCAAATCAATCGTGTTCTCCTGCACCTTTTCGTGTCGGTTTCGCAGAATGGGGGTCAACCGGGGCAGCAGGTCTTTGATGGGCGGCTGCATCTGGGAGATTCCGACGACGGTGACAATGGATCGCAGGGCTCCTAGGATCGATCCGAGAACCTCGGGGTACTCTTCTCCCAGGTACTCGTACAAGACAATGCCCAACTTGCCCATGAGGGCATCCTCTCCGCACTGCTTCATCACCATGGCGATTCGGGAGATGAGGTCGGCGGCCTGCTGGCGGACAGTGGCAGACTTGTTGTTGAGTCTCCAGAGGATTGTGCTCACGATTTGGGGCAGGTATGGCTTGCAGCGGGTTCCAAGGGCGTTGACCACCGAACCGAAGCCGTTGAGCATGACAATGTCTTCAACGCTCTGTTCTTGGAACGCGTGGAGGATACCGTCAATCAGGCGTTCTTCGAGACGCTCGCCAATGTCCGCGGCACCCAGACTGGCCACGACCTTCTCGACCGTCTCGACAGTCATCTTTCGGTAAGCCTCGCTCTCATCCTTGAGGTTGTTGACAATTCTCTCCAAGATCTCGCTCACGCCAACCTTCTGGCCAATGTCGACTGTCGTCTCGACGACCTGCTTGTAGTTGCGCTTGTCGAGAGCCATTCGCCGGACCCAGAAGCTCTTGAAGAATTCGTCCAGGACATGCTCCTTCAGGTAGCCGGCCGTGACTCCCTCCGTGCCTGCGCATTGAGACACCACCTTCAGTACCACCTTCTTCATCTCTTCGTCTGGCGAGGAAAACTCTCGCAGCAGAATCTCCATGATTTGGCTGGTGTAGTAGTTTGCATACTCTTCGTCCATGAGAGGGATGATGTATCCCACGGCCTTGAGAAAGCCAGCCAGTCCCTTTCCTCGTTGCTTGCGAGCGCCAGTCCACAGCGGGTTGAGGATATCGTCGAAGCTTTCAATACCATACGGGTTCGAGGCCTCGGCAAGGGCAGCAATGGCCAAGCTAGTAACGGTTCTGACCTTTGTCTGCTCATCGCTCAGGTTAGGGGCAATGCAGTCAACCAGACCCTTGAGGTGGGGAAGGACGGCGCATCCCATCAGGATGGGAATCTGCTGAACAATCTTGACTCCGGTGTGCCTGGCTTGCCAGGACTTCTTGCTTCGGCAGACGGCTCTGAGAAAAGGCAGCAGGGCGGGAATGCCAAGGGCAGAGGCCACGACAGCGAACGCTCGGGCAGTCGTGTTACGGACGTATTCATCGACGTGATCAATGTCGGGTCGCATTGTGCTAATCATGGTTGCGAGGCCTGCTGCTTTGCTGAGGTTGGAGATGATTTCACGACCTTCGACTCGGGCGTAGTAGTCCTGGTCAATCAGGAGTGGCTCGATGACGACCAGGATCTTGTGCACATATGGGCGGACCAGGTCGTCCAGCTTGTAGAGAATGCGGTCGATGACCTTGACGAGCAGATGTCGCTCCTGATCCTCCAACGACTTCTCCATCAGCAGTGGGAGAATCTGGTCAAAGAGGGCACCGGCACCAAACTGTCTGGCATTGTCCGTGATTTGTCGAAGGGCCGTCTTTCGCATCGGCGGCGTGCCGTTCTTGATCTTGAGAAGCAGCCTCATGATCTTTCGCTCCTTGAGCTCGTCCACGCTAAGGGCGTTCTCATCAGCGCCGTCTGTGAGCTTGCCAAAGTACGCCATGTCCTCGGGCTTGAAGAACTGCAGATCGCCAACCCCCGGGATCTCAGCTGGCATTGGCTTTCCACCAAGTCTGACTTGGTCAGGGTCCTGCATCATGAAGCCAGTCTGAGGCGCCGGGGTCGCCATCAGCTTGTGAGCCGGAGCCCGGACAGGCTCGTAACCTGGAGGGGGTTCTAGGATCTTGTAGCCTTCCTTTTCGCCAGGCAGGAGCAGATCAAGCTCTTCGTCGCTCAGAGGCATGTTCCGTCCAGAAACGTCGGTGCCAAACGCCGGGGGCATTGGGGCAGCCTGTGATGGGTGCATGGGGGTGGCGAGGCCTTGGTTGCCCATCGGGGTTGCGGAGGGTGCCTGGTCCCATCGCGAGCGCTTCTTGGGAGCTTCCATGGCGCCGGGGGCTGGGGTCTGATCCCAGCGGGAGCGCTTGGACTTGACTTCGGCTCCAGTCTCTTCCTTTGACTCCTCTTCACCAGCAGGCGTTGTCGAGACATCCCATCGCTTCTTACGCTTGCGTACCGACGTGACAGCCTCGGTGGAGCCCGCCTCTGCGTTTTCCTTGTCGCCCTCGGCGAGCGTTGGTTTGAGCTCGTCGTCATTGTTGTTGTTGTTCGTCGCCTTTGCCTGAATAGCCTGCTTCACACGCTGCTCCTCGCGCTCGAGCTCGCGCATCTCCATAATCTCGCGATAGCTGGTTCCATTCTCGGCGGCACCGGCCTGTCGGTTCTCAGCAAAGGGATCGGCTCGGGTCGGCGTGAGCACACGGTTGAACCTTCGCTTCTGATAATCAGTCTCGCGGTCAGTGATGCGTCCGCTCTTCTCGCCCTTGCCGGCCAGGATGTCGTCCTCCTCGACGCCATCGCCGCGGGCAAACTCGTCAATCATCTCGCGCGAGGCTGTGTACTGGCCCACGAGCCTACGCGTGTTGTCGCCATCGGCCATCTCATCGTCATCATCTCCCATCGGCAGAGACGTGTGGTATCCCGCAAACTTATCGCCCCCCTGCGTGTCGTACAGAGCGCTGTCCGCGCTGTCGGTGAGCCGCTGCTTCGTCGAGTCGGTGCGTTGATTCGAGGCTGCCAACGCGCGAGAGCCCTTGGACGAGGCTGCCGCGGCGTTGCGCTCCTGCTGGAGCCGCTTGATGGTCTCGAAATCCGCATCAGACATCTTGGCTCATCGACCTTGCTGCTTCATCCCGGTTCTAACGTGCTTGAAGTGGCTTCAACGAGATCGTTGCGCATGGAGGTGTGCTGCTGCGAAGGCTCTGCTTGCTTTGGATAGGGATTGCAGGCCAAGCTTTGCTGTGAGGCGGCAAAAAGTCTACCGCCAACGGCACATCCCGGCGTTTACCCGACGTGGCGCGATCATGGGAATTCTGCCTAACAACGTGCTTACATAATGCGATGACAATGCAACGACAATTGCTCCATGCTCAGTAATGAGCATCCCCTTCGGTCAAGAAAGCAGCGGAAGGTGATGGAACAGGAAGTATTTGTTCGTAATTAATATTCATTTCAGCAATGTGATTTGACATGTGTATGCGTGAAATGAACATTAAGATTGGATCTATGGCCGAGATCTTGTGCGTCTCCTCTTGACTGTCGCTTCTACCTCTACGATGACTCCCTCCTTGGTCTCCTCCTTCACATGAATCTCTTCCACCTTGACAATTGTTTTCCTTTTCCTTGATGGCCTCACTTGTGCAGCTAGCACATCTTCCTCTTTGATGGGCTCTTCCATCTCCTCGACCTTTTCGACCTTTTCGACTATCATACGGCCTGAAAACTCCCGTAGGTCAGCTGTGAACAAGACGGAATGAGCCCAGCCCGCATATTTGCCCCATATGCTCCTGAAATGATCGCCAATCGCATCATACATGGCCTTGTTGATGGTTTTGGGGCCCTTCTTGCCAAAGCGGTAGTCCCTCTGGGCTATTTGTAGAACGTGCGTATCGACCGGCACTGATTCTCCCCATCCAAGGCCCATCAAGCACACGCAGTCGGCTACCTTTGGGCCTACGCCAGTAAGTGAGAGTAATGCAGTCTGAGCATCTTTGTAGGTGGACTGTGGTCCGTCCGATACTGCAACAGCGTTGAAAGCAGGGAAGTCCGGATTCCGTAATGAGTCAAGCCATGCTGAAGGCTTCTCCTGTGCAATGATGCGCGCCGTTTCTGCAATGTACTTGGCTCGATAGCCAAATCCGAGTTCCCTTAGACGAGCCTCGACCGTCTTGTCTGTGAGAGACTCTGGGGTTGGAAAGTCGTGCATGGCTTCTCCATCTACATGACCGATCAACGGGCCATAGTATTTGCAGAGCTTGTGGGCCTGGAGAGAGCTTGTGTTAGCATAAGCCTTTTCCGGTGATCCTTCTGTGCATCGACTCACCATCTGGGATATTCGAGATATGTTGTTGTTGCTGCTGCATATAAAGCATATCAAAGCCTCCCATGCATCCTGGTTCAGAATTCGGACTCCTGTAAACTGCGGTGCCTTTTTTCGAAAGTTGGGGTCGTCTTTGGACCACTGTCGATACAGCGAAGCAAGATCTATGTTCAGATTGAAGTAGTGACGAAGGAGATCTTCCGTGTCGTCCTTGAACGAGGGTTTCTCTGTATGATGTGCTGGCCATGTTGCCTTGTAGTGCAAGTGAGTCGCATCTTGCTTCAGAGACAATATCCTTCCATGCAAAGTGCAGGTCCTATTCTTCGTTAAACTAAGAAGAACGATAATGAACAAGGACTCTGGAGTGAGACGAACCATTCATCATTGAGTTTCCGCCACCTAAACGACTGGCCGCACCGCAACGTCGTGTCGATGCAGAGCTCTGCCAGGCTGACGGGCAACTTGCGCCAATCACCGATATGTTTGATTGCCATTCTTCCAGATTACGAGCCCATCAAGCGACTTTGGATAGAGGAAGTGGGAGATGAGCTCCAGGTTAACGCCGTTTCAATTACACGCAGCAAAAGTCATTCAGGTTCCAGTCACTTTATCGCCTTTCCAGCGCAATTGATAGGGGGCCCGCTAGTGCCTATGGAGCCTCGGGGGTCCTGAGCGCGTCACTAGAGCACTAGCCGCAGATAATCCGACAGGCTCGCCGGCGCTGAGTGGCGCACTAGTCCAAAGACAGACTAGCCCCCATTCTGCAAAAAAGCTCCAGCCTCGCCTTTGATGCAACGAATTGGCAAAGGAGCTTCTGGCCAAGAACATCTGCAGCGACCTCATCTGCCGTTTTCTGCCCGCCACGACATCCGATCTCATCAGTCTCAAGACGGTGCTCGGTCGCTGGCGTCAGCGATAAGATACGGCCATCATGAACGGCGACAGCTATTCATCTCGAGGTAAAGAACGACACGCGTCCCGCGCCTTCTCGTCTTTTCTAGGCGCCTGTGCTAACCAAAGTTTCGCGTCGAGCAGATGGGGGGCGAAGAAACCGAGATTATCCTGTTCGTATGCCAATCTGCTGATTCCACCCGCCATGTCTAATTGTCTTTGATGCAGGGCCCGAGAGGCGACAGGGATGATCGCCGCGACCGTCACAGAGACCGCGACCGCCGACGCTCTCGATCACCGGATCATCGTGGACACCGTCGAGGAGATGACGGCGATGCATACTCGTCAAGCCGCAACCACCGTGACCGAGAGCGCGAGGACAGATATTCATCAGCGCGCGACCGTCGAGGCGATCGGGACTGGGACCGTGACCGTGGCTCCTACCGCCGAGATGCTCGACGTGACGACGATGACAGACCCAGCCGACGAGATCGAGACCCCTACGATGACCGCCGACGGGGAGGCCGAGAGCGGGACAGGCGTGATGATGCCTTCATAAAGCAAGAGCAGGCGCGCCGCAGTCCGTCGCCCCCCAAGAAACGAGAACCCACTCCTGACCTGACGGACGTCGTTCCTATTCTCGAGCGCAAGCGACGCCTGACGCAGTGGGATATCAAGCCTCCTGGCTACGACCTCGTGACGGCTGAGCAGGCCAAGCTCTCCGGCATGTTCCCTCTGCCGGGAGCCCCTCGTCAGCAGCCGATGGACCCCACGAAGCTGCAAGCCTTCATGACCCAGCCCGGTGGCCAGGTTAGCAGCGCCGGTCTGAAAGCTAGCAACTCTCGACAGGCCAAACGTCTGCTGGTCTACAACGTCCCCAGCGGTGTAACTGAAGAGGCTCTGATTGCGTTCTTCAACCTCCAGCTGAACGGCTTGAACGTCATTGAGACCCCTGACCCCTGCGTCCTCTGCCAGTTTTCTTCAGACAAAACGTTCGCCGTGGTGGAGTTTCGGAATGCATCTGACGCAACCGTTGCGCTCGCACTTGATGGCATTACCATGGAGGCTGATGATGCGCAAAACGGCACCGCTAATGGCGGCAGTCACGGCTTGGACATTCGCAGACCCAAGGACTATGTCATGCCCGGCATTCCAGACGATATCCCCTACGACCCTGAGGTCATCTCCAACGTCGTTCCTGATACCGTACACAAGCTGTGCATCACCAACATCCCCACCTTCCTCAACGAGGAACAGATCATTGAACTCCTCGCCGCATTTGGCAAACCCAAATCATTCGTCCTGGTAAAGGATCGGAGTACCGAAGAGTCCAGGGTGAGTCACGATTCGTTGCGTTTTCGTGGTCAAGTAAAAGCCATGCTAATTTTGAGAAAAGGGCATCGCATTCACCGAGTATCTCGACCCGTCTTCAGCCAACGAGCCTGCGCTTAACAGCCTCAACGGAATGGATGTTGCCGGTAAGAAGCTTAAGGTGACAAAGGCCAGCATTGGGCCTACCCAGGTGGCCAACTTCGACGTGGGCATCACCGCCATCAGCGGCCTTGCTTCTCAAACGTCCAATGACATTGAGAGAAGCTCCGTCATTCAGCTCCTCAACATGGTCACGCCCGAGGAGCTCCTGGACAACGATGATTACGAAGGTACGTCAGCCCGCTGGTAGTGTTGCCGCCGGAAGCCTAACGCGAGATGCAGAAATCTGTGAAGATGTCCAGGACGAGTGCTCCAAGTTTGGCAAGGTTGTTGAGCTCAAAGTCCCCAGACCGACTGGCGGTAGCAGGCAATCCGCCGGCGTGGGCAAGATATTCGTCAAGTTTGACTCCGTGGAGTCGGCCACCAAAGCTCTCACAGCTCTTGCTGGCAGAAAGTTTGCCGACCGAACTGTGGTATCCACGTATTTCCCAGAGGTCCGTTACTTCCACTCAATTATTTTCTATGCCAGAGAGAAGAGGAAAGCTAACATTTCGACAGGAAAACTTCGAGGTCGGCGCCTGGTAATCGAACCAGCTGTAATATATGGGCAAGGTAGTTCGCAGTTCAATTGGTATTTGGCGGTGGCTTACGAAGGTCACATTTGCGTCCATGTGAAATCGATGATAGCTTTGGTTAAGGGGCGGAGCGTTGCAGATTTGATGATCAAACGTACTTCAGGCGATCCCAACCAGGAACGTGAGGACGAAAACATAAGAAAAACAGGACGGCGTTTGTGAGCTTTCGCATGTGGCTGCGAAGAACAAGGGATCAAGGCACAATTGTAGGCAAATAGGTACGGAAATGTCAAGTTATATTAAGATTACTACGGTCTATCGCCTGGAGCTTGGGCTGAACCTGTGTCTGTATGCATCATGTCAGCCGTCTATTGCATGAAGCGGTCTCTTGCAGGAAAAAAGATGATATGAGTGTCATAGATCAGAAGTCCGGTCCATTCATTGACCACCCGAAGGAGGCCTAACATAAGAGGTGCCAAAATAAAACAAAATGTGTTCGTGTCATCATAAAAGCGTCGCGTTGAAGGCATCGCGATATCAGAAGGAGCTTGCGCGCAGAAGATGAAATAGCTTACCAGTTCAATATGGCCATATAGTCGGATGCGCTGGCCGTATCAGATACGTCTCTGCATCTCCCCAAGCTCCAGAGAGTCTGATCAAGAGGAGAAGGAGGCGTTGAGAGAGCGAGACGCAGCGCGTCTGAAGTCTTTCGCGCTCTTCGCGGGAAAATTTTCGGACAGGATGGAAGGCAACGGCGGGTCAAGATGTTGAGGTTCGGAGAGAGGAAGGCCGAGTCACGTGCCACAGCGGAATCCGAGGCGTGGGGTCACCAGTCACAACCACGGCCGCTGTTCCGCCTTTTGCCCTAACTAAGCGAAAATTTCACTCCTGCACCCCCACAAGGCCCTTTATTCGCTACCTGCTACTATCAAACTTTCGCGACCCAGCTCCCTCGACAACTTTCTTGCATCGCCAGCAGCAAGCAGCATCACCTCCATAAACCAGCCAAGATGGGTCGTCTTCACAGCAAGGGCAAGGGCATTTCGTCCTCCGCCATCCCCTACTCCCGCTCCGCTCCCTCGTGGCTCAAGACCACCCCCGAGCAGGTCGTCGACCAGATCTGCAAGCTGGCCAAGAAGGGTGCCACTCCCTCCCAGATCGGTGTTGTCCTGCGTGACTCCCACGGCATCTCCCAGGTCAAGGTCGTCACTGGTAAGTTCATTGGAAAAAATCTGGCAAATTCGGATGGACAAGGCTTTGGATGGGGAGCTTTTTGGCTGACTTGTGTGAAACCTGCAGGTAACCGAATTCTGCGAATTCTCAAGTCCAACGGTACGGCACCCTGAAGAAAAAGGCGAAAGAACGAGTATCATGTTTCCGAACCGACGCATGAAATACTCGGCGATTCGATCTATACATACAAATCTTCCATGAGATACTTCTCTCATGTGCCTCTGTGCGGTCATGACTGACAGAGTGATCTAATAGGCCTCGCTCCCGATATCCCTGAGGACCTGTACATGCTGATCAAGAAGGTGAGGAATTTGCCTGCTCAGCGAGAGCTTGTGCAATCTTGAAATGACAAAATACTGACGATGACTTCTTCAGGCTGTCGCTGTCCGCAAGCACCTTGAGCGCAACCGCAAGGACAAGGACTCCAAGTTCCGCCTCATTCTCATCGAGTCCCGTATCCACCGTCTGGCCCGCTACTACAAGACCGTCGGTGTCCTGCCCCCCACCTGGAAGTACGAGTCCGCTACTGCCAGCACCATTGTCGCTTAAGCGAGGGATCAAAAACAAAAAGAGGGACGACAGGTTAATTCGGCCATGGTCATGTTCGTGGTCGTGGTCGTGGAAGGGTTTTCGGGTCTTGGAGTTTGGGACATTTATGGAAAAAGCTGCATTTAGAGCCATGATTCTTCTGCGTCGGTCGTGAAACACCGAGCGGCGGCGGTCAAAGATGCTCAAACTCGAAAGCAATCGGACTGCTCATTGATATAGATGTGCTCTGGGTATCCTGAAATCCCTGATCCGTAATCTGAAATCCTCAACGCCGTCAACGTGCCTTTTGTCCCATGTTCTTAATGACGCTATATGAATCGAATCATCCTGTTCCTTCCAGCTCCCTTGATCGCTGTATCAAGTACTCGCCCAACACTCGCAGAGGGTCTTCTGGCCTAAATGTGGATTGTTAGTATCGTATATACGTCTGCGACTTCAATCTGTCGTATCATCCGGCAAGCATCAACCTACTTCTCCTTGGCCAATAGTTTCATCCCTTCCAATAAAACGCCGGTGACCTTTGTGTTCAAGTATCGTCGCGTCGAATCGCCGTGCGGAGGCGCCTCAGAAGGCATCGTAAACCCCGAGTCTGGATGCGCCGAAGGGGCTCTCGATCCTTGCGCCGGAGTTCCTGTCCGGCCAGGAGCTGGGCTGTGAGCGAAAGCAGCCGGCGCCGGTGACTGCATAGCAGTCAGTCAGTCAGTCAATCAAAGATCGTACGAAAAGCCATTGGTGCAGCAGGAACACAAAACGCATAGACATTGTAGATGGCCTTACTGCTTGGTCTGTCGGTACATCAGCCATCGTCACGTCCGCGTTGCCTTGGCTCTGCTGCGTCGACGCCTCGTCGTTGATGGACACCTGCGGGACATCCGGCGCTGATCTGGACTCTTCGTCCGCCATGGTTGTCAAGTCACAGAGGTGCAGAAGCTGCGCAATTGGTTGCTGGGGAGCTGGAATGAGAGAAAGATGCCATGCCGTTTTCGAGAGAGCAACTTGAAGCTTGTTGGTGGAGACTGGGTGCTTAATTGCTTGGAGAGGGTCAGCTGACTTCGCGTTTAGCTGATTCACGGACCTCCGCGTCAAACTGCACCTCTTCCCGTGCAAGACAATTCTCTTTCAAGTCTCTTCCTTTTTCTCTGACGCCCTATTGTCTCTTCGGTTGTCACTGTCTCACAGATGCATTTCTGAAATGGAGGACCATGGATGCTTTTGTGAAACGGCTACCGAAAGGTGATGCTGAAGGTCGAAGTGCTGGACCATCAAATCGCCGTGCCTCGCCTGTCAAGGGAAGGCCCTCTAAGCGCTTAAAGACGGGCAAAGACACGGATTCGGAGTCTGAGGGGCCGTGTGTGCTTCCACTGGAAGATGAGCCTCGAGAGGCTGCTGCTCTAGAGACATTGCTCGATGACAAAGACCAGCGCCGGAACAAGGACCGAGTCACGGATTTCGAGGTCGCTCTGCCACCAACTGAGGCCAATGAAGAAGCAATCGAAGAATACGAGGCACTCAAGTCCTCCCAGAATAATGCTGGAGAAGGGAGTGTTGAAGGAAAGCCCGCTCCGCTATGGGTGAAAGGCAGGAGCTCGATCTATGTCGATGCTTTCAACCTTGCATTAGATACAGTTCTGGAAGAAGAATCGGCCCTCTTCAGTAGCAGAGAGAGAGAAATCTTCGACCAGTGGAGGAAGTTGGACTACCAGGCGCAGTACTTGTGAGTCCACCTAAGCCGGCCAAGCCTTCTTCCACTCATACGAGTATAGATACGTTCGGCTGTTTCTCCGGAAGACTGCGGCGTGGCATCGATCATCTCGTCTAGGGTATTTCAACGACATCTCGGATCATAGCAGCGCCATTGCTACGCTCCAGGAACGTCGACCTCTGCCCTCACAAGACGAAGTAGAGCCGCTCGTAGACAACCAGCTGCCGTCTGTCATTCCGGAAACCCCTGACGATGGCGATACTTTTTCGTTTGCCGATGCCTCGGAAGACCATCTCGATACAGTTGAGGAAGCCGCCTCGCTTCTCTACCTCGACGAGCTCAAAGCTCTAGCCAAGGAAGCCAAGGTCCATGGAAAGACCAAGATGGACATGATCAAGGCCTTGTGTCGGATGAGCCAGCAACAGACCGGACTAATGGCACTGGGCATTAGTAGACAGGATAGCGGAGATTCGAGCACCTCTGGAAGGACAGACCTTGCTGTCACCACAGTGGGCAAGCTGAAAAGGGAGGATTCCAACCGGGAGCAGCACTTCTTGGCCAAGATCATGGCCATCGTTGGTCCCTGTATCCGAATATCGCCTGTTACATTCAAACTGTTTGAGAGGGTTCACTTGGTCTTTTATAGATCTACAGAATGGACGGAGAAGTCGCTGACGACAATCATACTGGCCAAGATTGCTAGACGGAGTTTTCCAGAGTACCTTGTCTGCCGGTCCTCTACAATCTTTGCATCTCGATCTCATCTGCTGGAATACGAGGCGGCGATACACATGGAAGCAGAGGTCGATAGTGTGCTTGAATCGAACGGACCCCTGGACGAAAGAGGCTCGCAGAAAATCCTCGACATCTTCGAAAGAGTGTATCCCCGATGGAAAGCCTTGGTCGAAGAGGAAACAGAGAAAGAACGGCGAGTGTACGAAATGGGGGAGGGCGCATACCTCCGAAGATTTAATCCAGCTCATTCATACACACGAATCATCGTGAAAGCTGCATTTGTTTTTGGCAAATTGAAGCAGTACGTCAAGGAACATGACTTGTTGACAGAGCTGCTAGACCAACGGCTCTTTCACTTGGCTCGAAGGGGGGCCTGGTACCAACGCAAAGCTCTCTTGGAAGAACATTACATGGCCAGTCTCGACCCGGACCCTATCACCAACGACTTGGAGCAACAGAAGAAGCGATGGAGGGCCATAGCGGTCTCGACCTGTGAGACAGGCCTTCAAGACCCCGATTGCCATCTCATACACCATTACGACCTACAGAAGCGATTGGTCAAACTGGAGAAGAGGCTCCGCATACCGAAACGGCTTCAGCATGACTTTGGACATGTACGACTTGTTGACCCCTTGGAGCTATCTGTTGAAGGAATCCAACTGAAGCGAACTCCCCCACCGAGGTCCGGAGGCCAGGCCCTAAGCACAAGAACGATTTGGTTGGATGAATCAGACTCTGGCGGTGAGTGCACTGTGGAAGAGATGTGTCTTGGTCACTTCCGGTCACAGGGGTGGAAGGGTTACCATGCTGAGGGGGGTATCATTCGCACCCTGTTTGCGTATCTGTTCTACGACATCTTGTTTCTCTACATCCCCAACGTTTTCCAGACGGCTTTTCAGACCTGCCCGCTGGACCTGCACACGGACGCCTTCTTCCCTGCTCGGGCCTCAGAGATCAACCACCGACTCGTGGAGATTGCCAATGGAGAGGGCGAACGGATCCTTCGTGGGGTATGGGACAAGGAGCATGAACGACGAACCAGTGTGATAGGGCTCAATTGGGATTTCGATGTGGAGGACTTGACGGAACTAGTGCGCTGCTTCCAAGGTAGCGCCCTAGCCGCTTTATGCAAGGTGATGGCACAGGAATACAGACAGAGGGGTGGAGGCATTCCGGACCTGGTCCTCTGGCGACTGGCAGAGACTGCCGAAGCAGACGCCCCAGACGAGGAGCCGGGACAGGCTAAAGGCGAGGTCATGTTCGTCGAAGTCAAGAGCGCAAACGACAGGTTGAGCGACACGCAGCGGCTATGGATCCACGTCCTCACTGGAGCCGGGGTCAAAGTCGCTCTTTGCAATGCCGTCGCAAAAGAGATCAGAGAAGTGGACTACTAGTACTAGCACATTTGCCCGCATTCAGTCGCCTACAGGATTGTACCGTATGCCCTGTGATGGAGAAGAGGGAGGGGGATATACTTCCAGTTTGTTGTGATGGATGGAGGGTGCTTCAACGCAGAGGGTGGAGATGGAGGCGTGGACAATTTGACCTGCCGCCCCCTTTGCCGACTTGAGAAGGCTGGCCATCGAAGCCCCGGCGGGACGATCTTGGTTTGCCATGTGTTGCCGCGAGTTGCAAAGAATACCGAGCTTCGCGGGATGCTGTTCCCCGGTGGTTTATGGAGAGGGGGGCCCACCGGAGCTCCGTGTGATATGGAACCGAAGGTGCTTCCATCACCGTCGGCCGTGCGTACTTGAGTGTGCGTGCGTGCGTGCGTGCGTGCGTGCTTCCAAATATAGCAGCCATGGAACATGTCTCAGAATGTTCCATCTGGGCAGAGCGGAAGCTCAATCTGCAGTCCTTTTCTTCTTCCAATGTCGGCTTAACCCGGTTTCAGCAGAGGTGATACGGGCCAGGACCACCCCTGCCTCTGTGTGCTCTCGCGTTTCAGGACCACTCACCATACAAATGGGAAGGATTCTCTCGAGAATCTTGCTAGTCTGACGGGAAACCGGGACCAATGAGCAGACATGGCGACGTTGGGATAGCGTGACTCGCATGGCCGACTGTCACATTACTGCTCTAACAGCACTACATACTACATACTACGACCAACACGCATACCCTTGGCGGGACAACGATGTGTCAAGTTGGATTCGAGTCTTGAGACGGATGTGACAGCAGAGCAGACTAGCAGACACCAAAGCAACCAGGGGATGAAGGGGTGAAGGACAGAGGGAAGCTTTTAGGGATTCCCAGCACGGCGGTGAACCGATGCTAGTCCCGCGGATGAGAGGCCTCGCGCGTGGACGAGTAGGAGAATTCCCTCTTGCCTGGTAATTCGGCAGTTGGCCTCGCCTGACGAGAGCCATGGTCGAAAAAAAGACAGATGGGAATCTCAGCACTAAACCGGCGGGCCCCTTTGTGGAGGACACGATAGTCGGGTCTTGGATCCAGTTTGTGCCCACGAGGCAGCCTTCGCTTATTGAGTTTTCCTTTCTTCTCTGGGCAATTTACGAAGTCTTGACAACATGGACTGATTCAGAGCCTGATATGGGTGCTTTTAGCTGCTTGCCCTCCACCTGACGCGGTTTGTTATTGCAGACAGGCACTTCCTACTGACTTTGCTCAAGGCATACGAGTTATAAGCGCCGCTTAAAGCAACTACAGCAATTTCTCGCCACATGCAATATAACGGCGAGACAAGTATTATCCTGCGCCAGACCTGAAGACTGCTCCGTCACGAAGACGTCTGCATACATAATACTGCCGACATACGCCCTCGCACAGACGTTACAGACAAACGACAGGCATCAGGAAAGGCTACAGCGCAGCAGCACAGGCAGGAAAAGGATCCCCCCTTCCGAAAGCCACAGGAAGCGACGGCTTAGTGTCTGGATTGTCTTGAACAGAAGATGCGTTGCCCACATATCAGGGCGCTTAGATCCCGGCCAATCATGGACACCGGACCTGACGGGTGGGTGACAGACATCTCCACGCCGGCCAATGGCGCGGGCCTGCGGGAGGCTCGACGGCGCTTAGAGGTCCGCTTTAGCACGAACAGGGGGGGGGTGGGACAGGACAGCTTCTCTCTCACGATGACTTTTTGCCTTTTTTTAGCCCAGGTCCTACGAGGAAGGGTGACAGGGGTATGGGTGGGCAGAAGGAAGAGAGAGGAAGGGAGGGAGGGAGGGTGTGTGGGCAGTGACGTCGGCCAACGTCACGATGCACGACGGATGTGTGTCCGGGAGGAGGACGAAGGAGTCGGTGGGTGTAGTCGATCGAAGACGGATGGAAGCTGAAAACACACAAGTTTGATATACATACAGGACGAAGAAGCAAGGGGGGAAAACCGGAGCAAAAGGACAAATGGGCAGAAAGAGCAACGACGGCAGCCCAAGTAGAGGGAGTGGCTGGGATTCGTGCAGAGGGACGGCCGCTTGCTATGACGACCATATTACTTTTACTCTCGCCCTTGATGAAGGGAGGTAATGGGGGGGTCGGGGTGTGTGGAAGAGATGGACGATGACCTAAGCCCATGCACAACAGGAGAAAGAATGACGCTTGGCGATGGAACCTCGAGAGATCGAAGAGTAGTTGTTGTTGCTGCGAGGGAATGATGACCTTCGAATGGGACAGACAAAGACTATTACTTGGGCGGCTCTCATTCGTTACGGCTCTTGGGGGGGGAAAAGATAATATGCGCTGTTTGATATGCGGTGTCCTATGAGTCTACGACCTCTATCGTCAACCTTGACAGGACAAGACGTGTGAATAGCCGCTCAGATATATACACGACTCGACGCAAGGAACAGGGCGGCACGCAAGGATCCCTCCTAAATCTCTCGATCAACTCATCCACGGCAAGCAAGAAAGAGGAAACATCAACAAACATTATGTTTCACGGGACACCATGATAGTAGTAATACTAAACACAAAGCCAAGTCCAATGTAAAAGCCAACCTCGAATGGCCTCTCGCATCGCGACCTAGCGGGCAGCAGGCAATCTCTTCCCGTCCGGCCCATTATACCGGCCTAGACTCATCCACTCGGGACGCAGGCCGCGCACACACAACGCACGCGCACAAGCGCTTCTCCATCATCTAGCATTGATGCCACTTTACGAGAACCGGGCGTCGAAGTTTGGTTGTTTCGTTTCTCGGAGGAGGGCGGGGGTTGGACGGTCCTCGAAGGGGCAATAGAACTGAAAGGGCGTTCTTGTATCCGTCGATACCTACTTGCATCAGCCATTAATTGCAAAGAAGAAGAGGAGGGTAGAACAGCTGGAGTGTACCAGACAGAGTTCTTCGTGTCCTCCCTCCTCGAAAGCACGCAAGGTCCCATCCATCATCAAACAAAACCACACATCTCTCCATCTCTTTCACCCTCTGCCGTTCACCGTATACCAGCAAAGAAGGAGGAGAGAAAAACAGAAAGGCCCTTGCACATGAGCAAACAAAGTCCCATCCACTCCCGAGTCATCATCATACATGGACCAGAAAAAAAAGAAGAAAAAAATATTGCTCAGGCGCCCACCCTCATGCGACCGCCCGTGCGACCTTCTTCCCCATTCTTCCTCTCTCTCTCTCTCTCTCTCTCTCACGTCGCCTTTTGCCATGGCACTTGTTCTGCAGCTTTGCGTGAAATACAGAAAGGGAGCGCTGCTAGTATATATTTGCTGCATAGAAAGAGAGCACAAGAGGGTCAAGCGTCCTCAGGGCAGCGAATGAGGCAGGGCTCTTATACCGAGATTTGCTCTTCGCACCGCACAGCAGCGCTATCTCAGCTGCAAGTCGTACCGGCGACATGCCGTGGCACTGGGCAAATTAATGGATATACATCATGGATATCCTTCGTAGACGTCGCACCTGTCTGTCAAAACGCATCTGCCATGGTCCATCACGCGTCGCAATCGGAGAATATCGCGCTGTTCAGAGCCTTCACAATGGGCAATAACCAGAGCACCTCTTCGTTGGGGTCATTCATTCAATAATCTTTTTTCCTGCGTCTCTAAATAGTGTATAAATGCGCGTTCCGGGCATGCTGTCTGTGCTGTGCAGCTGGCCCGTCTGGCAATCCAAGAGTCACGACTGCCTCCGTCGACCCCGTCTCTATGCGGCCTCACAAACGGCCGGCTCCTCTTGGTTCCCGCTCCCGGTGACACACGCGGCATCGCCTGACCCTCCGCCGGCCCCCGCTCAGACTTGAGCAGACCATTATCCACAGTCTAGCTCTGGCCTTGGCTTTGCTGTCAAGCTGGTCGATGCGTTGCAGAAGCGTTGCAGAAGCGCCCGTCAGATGTCGAGTCCCCGTGCCCAAAGAAAAAAGCCAACAAACTCCGAAAAAAACCCCTCTGTTTTTCCAAAGCAGGAAAACAGCAAAGAAAAAGCCTCCACCTTCGCAGGTCCTCACGCAATGGAGGAATGTGATGACAAAAGAAAATGATATCGAGATAGCCGACATGGAGGGAGAACAGATAATAATAGAAAACTCCCCACATCACTCTTCCATGATACGCCAGTAGCAGTGTCATTCCGGGACTCACCCGGGTCCAAATGTAATCCATCGCATCGTCAACTTCAGCTTCGACCAGCGTATTAGTGCTGAAGGTTTCGTGAAAAAAATAAATAGCCGATCAAGAATTGGAAGCAGCTCACCCTTCCAATTCTCTGGCATCATGCTTTTTGGGGTCTCCCACAGGGAGACGTGCAGTCGTGAAGACAAGAAGTGAAAACACCCAGTGTTGTCGATCATGGTTGGTGTACAGTTGGTGTGTTGGTAGTTAAAAGGTGTGCAGGATGATAGCATCGCCATCACCAAATCAGGTTGTTGTAGAAGCAGAGTTTGTCGTAGGCGTTGTGTGAATCAAGCATGATTCCAAGGATGCTTTTCCCTCTCCCCTCCTCCTTACTCCACCTTCCGTCGCTTGCCTCGAGGAGCAGGCTCCATCTTGGGGGTGTAAGTGACGGTCCTAGTCACCACCTCCCGGATGTGCCGTACACTCCGTGACGACTTTGGCTTCTTCGCTTCTAGGCGAGCCTTGAGAGCGGCGTCCCAGTCGAACACGGAGTGAATGGATCGGGCGCTGAACGGGGAGCCAATGAGTCTCGAGCTCAAGGGAGAGTCGAGGTTGGAGATGGCAGGACTGGGGGGCACTTTCAAGCTGGGAAAGCAATGTGCTCCAGTAGGAGGAGCCGACATGGGTAGAGGCGCCGTGAATGGAGTGGGAGGGACTGCCGTCGCTGACGCGGGCGATGACGGTTTGCTGCTGGCGGCGCTTGAAGCCGGGGAGGGGCGCTCATCGGTCGAGGACGAATCCGACTTGTCGCTGGCGGCAGATGTCGGGGCAGACTCTGGGGAAATTTCGCCCGGCGCCAAGGCCGGTGAACCCAGAGTGAGGGCCTTGGACAGGAAGTCGGTGTAGGCCAATGGTGGGCTAATGGGCGTCTTGATGTAGCTCGGGTCAGGCTTGTAGGCGAAAGGAAGAGCAGACCTCGGAGTGGCCGCGGTTGCTGAGTGTATATCTGAGGGAAACGTGCTCGTCACTGGGGTGGAGAGCTTGCCCAGCTTGGGCCTGGTTGTGGCTGCGGGCATGATGGCGGTGGTTGTTGAGATGATTGTTGTTGATGAACACGCAGGTGGATATAGCCCTCAAGGAACAATCCGGTATTGTGTGCGCGTGCTTGCTTTTTGAGTGGTGAATATCGATTGTTCTTGTGGGAGCAGCGTAGTGGGCAGGCGGCAGTCGAGGATGGCCAGAGGTAGGCAATGTATAGAATGATATGAGAGATGGGGAACGGTCGTGGCAGCTTGTAAGCCTCGGGGCTTCAGAGCTATTACCAGTGATGCCCTTCGAGAGAAAGATACGCAACGAGATGAAGCCAGAGAAAAAGTTGGCGGGGAACGAAAGAAGGCAGACCGCGGTGATTATATTGTGTTGGACCGTTGGCAGAAGTCAGAGCAGTAGCAGCGGACGGGGGGGGCGTGTTCCTAAGGAGGTGTGTTGGAGAGCGTCAGAGACAGCAGACCCCCGGCGGACGAGGGGTTTGGCGGCAAAGGCGAGACTGGGTTTGGCGGTTTGAAAAGAGCCAGTCAAAGCAGCGCAGGCAGTGTAAGGCTCGGGCAGGGGCTGTGTTTTGGATATGCGCCGGTGGCCTGGATGGGGCGCTGGATATCCCTGCCGCTCGACGCCGATTGCAGGCTGCCGATGGTTGAGCGGATTGGACGAGGCCGCAGGAAGGATTCCCCAAGGGGGGTGGGAGCAGGGGACGCAGTGGAAGACGGAGCGCGCGAGAAGGAAATTGGCTGTTCGTTCGTCGACGAGAGGCCTGTGGCTGCTGTTCTGACGCCTGGGCTGGCTGGTTGACGTCGTGGCCGATGCGCTGTGCGATGGATGGGCTCTTTTTTGGCGCCGAGACGAGAAGCACAAAGTAATCAACAAAGTGAAGGAAGCGGGAGCAGAAAGGAAGAGATTAAAGGGCCAAAGTAAGAAAGATTAATGGTACCTAGCAAAAGAAGAGGGAGGGAAAAGGAAAAGAGGGAGAAGAGAAAATCCAGGCATCAACAGAGGGAGCCAGATGGATCGCCCTGGAAAGAGCGAACTGGCTCTGTCTCTGCTCCGGCTCTTGCCTGTTGGTGATGGTGATGACGGAGGCTCAAAGTGCAGGCAGGCACCACCAGAGCTCCAAGCCCACTGTGAGGGAAGGAACGGGGAACCAGAGGGGCGTTTGCCTGTTAAAGCAGCGCGAAGCGGAGGGGGTGTGCGCACGGGTACGTGGATGCGACCATTGCAGCAGCGGCAGATGCTCGCTTGGAGAGGTTCTCGAGAAGTATCATCTACGTATTACTGCAAGTGCACGCCTTGGACCACCTGAGCGCTAAAAGACAGAAGGTGCAGAGCTCGTACAGCTGCACGTACTACAAGGTGCTACCTTAGATAACCCATGCACCCTAGTCTAATATAACCCATGCTCTACTTTTCTAAATTTTTTACTATATTAAAAAACCTTATATAACCTATACTTTTTATAATTTAATTAGCTAAAATTTTTAAAAAGTGAAGTATAAGTTATATTAGCTTTTATACTAAAGTTAAATACCTCTTTAATATATTAACTATTTATCCCTTTTTTCTTTAATATATAACCTTTAGTATTAATAACTTTTATAATATTATAATATTTTAATATATTTTTAATATATTTTTAACCTATTTTATATATATTACTATACTATATATATTAATTATATTAAAGCAGTATAATACTTATATTTATTATAAAGCTAAATAACTAGCTAATAGTAATAAGGCTAGCAGTATATATTAAAAAGGACTAGCATTATTTAAATATAAAGTAAAATTTATTAATATATTTATAATATATTTATAATATATTATAAAAAGCTAATATATTTATACTTTAAAAGACTAGTAAGATTATTCTTTTATTTAAAAAAGTGTTTTATTATATACTTATAAGTAGTAAGAACCTTTATTTTAATATAAGGCACTACTTATAATTTATATATATTAATAATATATTAGTATTATATTACTAATATATTACTTAAAATTAACCTTTTTTATATACTTTAAACTTTAAGAACTATATTATTTATAGCTATTATAGCACTTTTAAAAAGGTATAAAAAAGGACTACTAGTAATTAAAAAGTATTAAATATTATAAATATTACTAACCTTTTATTAATATATTTAAAATATATTATTAATATATTATAAAGTACTATTATAATATAATAAAGGCCTTTAATAATAATAAAGGTTTTATACCTTTACTTATAATACTTATAAAAGCATTACCTAGCTGTAATATTTTATAATACCTAAGCTTTAATATTAATAGTCTAAACCTCCCTTTTTATAAAAGTAGTAGTAAAGGCTACACTTAAAATAAGGTATTTTTTATTAATATATTACTAATATATTATATTTTATTACTAATATATTTACTTTTTAAATAAACTATTATACTATAAAGAAAAATACTAGCCTTAATATTAAAGCTAAGTGTAAATATTATTAAGGCTAGCTAAATAATAGTAAGTAAATAAGGCTAATAAATTAATAATATATTATAAATTAAATACTAATATATTACTTTAATATATTTACTTAAGTTTATAATATATACTTATACTATTTAAAAGTACTTTTAGCAGCTAGCTTAAAATATCCTAATTAATATATTTAATAATAAAAAAAGTAAGAAGGTAAAGAAAAATAAAAAAGAGGTTATAAAAAAGTAATTTATTACTAATAAATTATAAATATATTATAGTTTAATATTAAAGTTATATTTTATAAAGCTAATACTAATTTAGTAAATACTTTTTTAATACTTTTTAAATATATTATTATATTAAAAGTTTATATATTTATATAAGAATTATATATAATAATAAAAGATATTTATAAGACTATAATATATAAGTAATATATTTAATATATATTATAAACTATTATCTTATATATATAATATTTATATTAAAAGTATAAATATATATATTAAAAATATATTATAAATATATTATAAAAAACTATAAGGTTTTTATAAGTACTATATATTTAATATATTACTTATATATTATAACTGCCTTATAAATTATTACTTTATTTTATTACTTTAAAGGCTATTTAATACTTTAGCTTTTAAACCTTTAGTATTAGAATATTTTATTAAAGTTATAAGTTAAGATCCTCCTTTTATAAGGCTAAATAATTATATAATTATTAGCTTTAATTATAATATATTTATAATAGGCATATAATATATTACCTTCTTTTTATATTTAGTATACTTAATAAGGTTAATTATAAGCAGGCAGGGATAGCTAATAGTAATAAAAATAAAAACTTAAGCTTATTAATATTTATTAAAGGTATAGTTATAATCTCTTCTTACTTTAATATAATAAAATGCTTTTATATATATTACTAGCTTATAATATATTAATAATATATTATTAATTTATTATAAATATATTATAAATATATATACTTTTATTAATTAGTATTTTTAAATTAGCTTTATAAAGATATATTATAATATAATATATAAATACTATAAAAGGTTATAATTTTATTTATATAAAGCTTATTAAGATTTTATTATATATTCTTATAATAATATATTAGTAATATATTATAAAAGCATTATTAAAATAAGTAAAAGGCTATATAAACTTATTTTTAAATTATTATTATTAATATTATATAATAGCTACTTATATTATAAAAAGCCTTATAAAAAACCTTTATATAGTTAGTATAACTTTTATAAGTATTTTATTATTTTTTAATTATATTAAAAAAGGTAAAGCATAGCCTGCTTATAATAATAACTTAGGCCTTATTATTAACCTATTCTTTAAGTTTTAGGTAGGCTATAAGAAATTAGTAAAGTATTATTAATATATTACTAATATATTTTAATAAAAAGTATTAACTTACCTTAATTTACTTTATTAAAGCTATATAATTATAATTAGTTATATACTTTAATAAGCCCTTTATAATATAAATAAATAAACTAATATCCCCTCTTTTTATTATTAATTTTATATATTCTAGTCTTTCAAAAGAAATTAATATATTAGTAATATATTTATAATATAATAATAATAAATTATTCTAGACTGTATTTAAAGTAATATAGTAAGTTTAAACCCATCGTTAATACTATTCTGTAATAATAGTCA